TGGATTGCCATGCTACCCTACTAATAACGCCTTGATACTCATGGTTGCCTCTCCAGAGGAAGGCCGCTATCTATCGTTGCAATGGACGGAGGGCCGCTTTGTCTAGTGCCCAGATTGCTGATTTGTACCACAGGGTGGCCAGCACTACATTATTAATTATAAGTGCACGACCGAATAGGGACGTATGTTTGCCTTGCCATTGCGTTATCTTTTCCAAGGGAGGGGTGGAGATCCATTCATTGTTGGTGGTAGGTTTGCCTTCCGCCGACATTTTTACCCCTAGCACCCTTATGGGGGCTCCCGGAGGGACCCGGAGGGAGCCATTTAATCCTTGGGTGCTCCGGGGGACGCACTCCATGGTGGTGTATCCACCACCCTTGGGTCTTGCTGCCCCAGTTCACCTTCATGTCTGAGAGCCTGCTAAAGCGATCCATCATCGACTGGACCCCGGCCATTGCCTCCCTGGATGCATCGAGCATAAGGGTCAGGTCGTCGGCGAAGAGGGAGCACACCGGGATCGCATCCTGTGGTATCGAGGAAACTTGGATTCGCTTGATATCCTTGTGTGTTCTCAGCCTCTCAGGTTGGCGGCTAGAGCTTCCATGACGATGACGAAAAGGTAGGGGGCTATTGGGTCCCCTTGTCTGACTGACCTTTGTAGCTCAATGGGTGGGGCAAGATTTCCATTTACCATGACGCGAGTTGTTGCATTCCGGTGCAAAATCCTTACCCATCGTCTAAAGCATGGTCCAAAGCTGAGCTTTTCAAGGCATTTATCCAGAAACAGCCAGTCCACATGGTCATATGCTTTTTCAACCGATCCTCCCTTTACCTTTCGGTGCAATTGATTAGTCGTTAGTTGGAATGGCCGGATCAATGCCTAGCAAGCAAACTTACGTGCGGCTTGGACAACCGCTCCAATTGAACGAAATTGTCAATCATTCCGCCTCCGTTGATCCTTCTGGAACCTCCTACCTTCTTTTGTCCTGCTCATCTACACCCCTTGCTGCCCGCACCACACGCTGGCACCCGCCGCCTTCAGCGCTATAAATTCTCGCAGCCCCTTCCTCTCCTCCTCTTTGATCTTGGCTGCAATGCTGCACGAGCTATGCGCGAAGACCGCGGCGCTGAACAGGCTCGACGTGCCCAAATGATGGGCGGAGTGACGATGTGAGGTGGTATTACTGGTAGACTTGGGGTAAAGCAGTCAGAGGGACTGAGCGGTGGTGGATAAAGAACGTGGCCAGCGGCAGGGCCTTGCGGCTATGGTTGGCGGATGTTCGGGTTGGTTGGTGGCTGCACCTGATGGAGGTCAGCACTGTGGGAATTTTGAATAGCGAGGGACTCACTCTTTTCTCCATTGCTGCTTTGTCCAAGTTGTGTGTGTGCAGTAGACTAAGTGTGGATACTCAGCCGCATGCATGATGTTGGTTACGAGGGTTTATGGATGTTGAATGCTTCCCTGCCCAAGATATTTGAGTGTATGGATGTGGAATGATGTTGCTGATGTAATGATCACTTAGGAGCAACCCTGGGCAGTGTTGGGGGTGTCAACTGTCGGCCTGTATGCATGAGTGTGTTGATTCCCCCTCCATTTCCCCGACCCTCGCCGATCCCTGTGCTATGAGTGAGTGTGGGGGATCGTCGCTGACTTTACCCTCTCTCCCCTCTCGCGCACAAGTGTCACGTGTCGGTTTTCCCTCGTTCATTTGGGCTGATCGACGGCAACGAGAGACATTAAGCATGGGCGTTTGGTCGACCTGCCTGATCTCTTTGCTACCCGGCCATAGCCGTTTTGTCTTAGTGACAATTCAATGACGTTGTGTCTCCGAATGTGACATCCAGGCAAGTCTGGAACCAAATGTTTCCTTGGAGCCACCCTAGGCAGTGTCTTATCTAAGCCAACTCTAGAGCAGCCTGAGTACCTAACAAGGCTATATTATGGTTGAATTGTGTGTTATCATGTATTTTATGTTCACCAGTCTGGGCGCATTTCCCAGCACGTGCTGCTCCCCGCGAATAGACTGGAGCATTTGTCCAAACAAAAAAAAAAAAACAAAAAAAAAAAGTATCCCGCCCTCCTTGTTCTCGCTGGACAAGTAAGAGGATTCCCCTCCCCCAAAGGTCATCTACTCTTCTCTCCAGACCCCTAATCAGTTCCACTACAATCCCCCCTCCCCACAAGGGGGTTGCTGCGGCATCACCCCGGACTACCCTCCCCTAAAGACTGGCGACGGGCGCAAGCATCATGCTAACACGAATGTATCCCTAGCAGAGGCGACATGAGACGCCGTCCTCCAGCTAGACCTTGAACCCACAACCTCTCCCAGGATATGTCAATGCTCTAACCACCCGCGCTATCATGCTTGCTGTCCCAGGTTCTACCTCAGTGCCGGGGAACTACTCTATGGAGTGTCAATCTAATACCATCCCGTGCATTCGCAGGACATGCTGAGGCTGATTGGGATCGAATCCAAAACCTGTCCCTTGTGATGCCGGTGCTCTAACTAACTGAGCTATCACGTCTCTTATGATGGTCTGAATGAAATGTAACGTCTCCACACAAACAAAAAAATGCATTTTAACCAACGGGCCTAGCTCAGTCGGTACAACCCTGAACTGTAGAAATACAGACTCGAAGTTTGAACCCAGCTACCTTCAGATGAAAAGAATAAGATCATTCTGCCAGAACCATTTTCCGGCTTGTATAATGGAATTGGCAACCGCGATATGTTCTGGGCCGGCGTGCCCGGACATTGCCGGGGACGGTCGCACTTGGGAAAAAAAAAAAAAAAAAAAAAGAATTGCGTAGGCCGGTCAGTTCAATGATGATATCTAAAGGCAGTCACCTTTTTTAAATAGAAAAAGAAACATATATCGATATTACGACGATATATATATATATCGTCAAATAGAACTGCCCGGTAAACCGTAGGCAGAGAGGGAGAAGAGGACAACAAACGAGGGGCTGTGACAAACTGT